AATGTTTTTGTGTCAAAGATTCAACAGAAGCTGTTTTTTGTTGAATCTAGACACTAAGACAGTATTGCTTTATTTGCTAAGACATACTACGGCGAGTCACGACTTTTTGTGACTCGCCTCTGTAATGTGAAACGTCACAATCCAGGCGACAAAAAGTGCCATTTTTACTCATAATAAAACAATATACTATTCTGTTTAAATTTGGAAAACCATTGGATTTTTTCTATTTTTCATTTCCTCGAAATTTAATCTACTACCTTTGTTATCAAAGTATTCTGTTCTTTAACTGAAAATTTAAAAAAAATCCACTTTTTTTCGAAAAATACAAAATTTTTTTTAAAAACTCATAGACGTGTTGCTGGGATAAAAAATGCTACCCCTAAAAATATGTGCAATTATTTAGTAACTCTGAATAAACATATAGTCGCCTTTGAAAGACCACGATATGATGAAAAAAGAATTGCGTTACAGTATCAGTTGAAAATACAAATCAGACAATTTCGTGAACAGTAGTCTCTCCTGTTTAGAACAGTTTTTTTAATTAAACATGGAGAGTCTTATTTAGGTCTCACCCTGTTTAATTAAACCAACTGTTCTAAACGGGAGAGACTGCTCAATAAATTTTCTGATTTGTATTTTCAAGGGATACTGTAACGCAATTTTTTTTTTCATTTTTTTTTTCATTTCTAAACATTATTGTCTAGATGCTAAGTCTATGTTTTTTCTAGAACAATAATTCATGATTAGCTTAAAAATTAAAAGCTCAAATTTGTTATTTCTCTGGTCAAATAACTATTAATTCAACATTGCTTATTTTTGTCGATAATGGCATGTATTGATTATTTCATTCCCAAATATCTCTGGAAAAACACACACGGTTGCTTGTAGAGATTTTTAACAAGTGGACATTTTTTATTTAGAAAATTACGGAAATGCATATATTTTTTCACTCAGTGGTGTAATACAGGGACGGACGAAAAGTTACTAATACAGTTAAAAGATGGTGGCGCCCCTCCAACTAGGGAGGAGTCTATATGTATTGACATGGAAATCAAATTCTCATGTTAAAAAACTCTCCCAGGCACTAATTTTTCATCCAAATACTGAATTTAGTTCAGAAATTATTAGAAAAATCGAAATAATTATGAAACTTCTACACCCTGTATCTCTGAAACGAAACATTTTGTACACAAGTTTATACGAACTTTTTTTTTTTTTTATTTTTATATGCAGAATATGTTTAAGCAGTTTCTGAATACAGTTCACCCCACCTGTATTGTGTATAAGCTTTCAAAAGTGACTCATCCACTTTCTTATTCTTTAATACATTTCTATATTAAAAAAAAAAAGAGATTTTATGTTAGTAAATGATATTAATATGATTAATTGACCTATTAGTTTCTGTTCACTTCCTGTTTCACCTATAATCACTACAAAATTTTGATTTTTAAATGGTACCCTTTTTTTACTATATGGTACCTCGGTATATTTTTATTTTATTTGACAGAAAATTACATTCTGTATAGATTTATATACCATATGTCATATGTCAACTTTGATATTTTAATTAAAAAAAATGTACTATTTTAAATTCTCGATCTAGTCTAAAAATCAAAATGTCGATGGTAATATTATTTTAGGTTTTCATTCTTCGATAGATTGTTTAAAATGTTAAAGAAGCGCACAATTTATAATCACCTTTTCCGTAGCAACGAATTAAATAAATGTTGTTCTTAACATATTAAAATAGCAAAAAATATGACGTTAAGCAAAACTAATAATAACCACTCATTAAAGAATAAAACCTAAAAATCATTTTTTTTTTTTTTTTTTTTTTTTTTTTTTTTAAAAATTATATTATTCATAAAATTTTACAGATAAAATTTATAAACATACAGGGTAGCGCACCTCATTCGCCTCGGTTGATTATTCGAAAACGGAAAGATGTAGAAACAAAATATTTTATGGGTTAATGTGGGGAGACCAGTGTGCACAGTTTAAAAGTATTTTGAAATATACAGGGTGTTTCAGAACTAAGATTCATACCAAAGTTATATTTTTTCTCTATGGAACACCTGGTATTTTATTTCATTTTGGATTCTTGGGCCCTAAAAAAAGGTATTTATTATAAGAGTTAAATATGTCTAAAATCTTTGGTTTTTGAGATATTTAAAGATATTTAAATTTGCATGCCACAATAGAATAGATTATTAACACCCTGTACACATTTTCTCTTTAGAAATTAATTTTTATTCTAAGTTAGAGTTTAAAGGTAGATAAATAAACTTTTACTGAAAAAATGGTATTCCTTAAATTATACAGGCCATCAAAAGTTGCTGATCTATTTTAAGGATATATTTTATACAAAAACTTTTTTTTTTTGTTATTTCAAATGCAACACATTGTATTTTAAAAATAAGTCGAAGCAGATTCAAATACTCTTCAAACTATATTAGGTTTCCCATACCTATCTAGCGGAGATGGAATAAAAAGCGATTTTTAAATAAAATTGCAATCAAGATGGCTGTGTCGCCATGGCAATTTTCTAGTGACTGTTAGTAACTATTTTCAAAGTCGATTACTTAGTTTAAGGACATTATTATTTATAATTTGTAACAGTTTACTTTTAATTTACCTACAATAGTTTCATTGGGGCAACTATTCATTATTTTATTTAGAAAAATAAAGCAGTATCTGCTGGTGGAACAAATAGATATGTTCTAGTGATTTTATTCTTTGCCAGAAAAATTGCTTCTGGCCTCAAGGGCTTATGGTCAAAGACTCCCAAATAGAAATCTTCCTGATAAGCGTTCCTTTGAAAGACTACTTGTCCTATTTCGCCAAGCTGGTAGTGTGGTTTATAAAAAACTATTAGGCAGAAACCTGTCGTTGGAAGTGAAGAAAATGAATTTGTCGTAATTGGCTCATTTATAGAAAATCCATATATCTACAAGCTATCGTAAAATAAATCAAAGAACTACTTCTTCGTGTTCCTCGATAGAATAATAAATGGCCAATATTTAATAAATATTGTTATTAAACTCTTGTAGCAAAATTAAAATAAAAAGTAAACTGGTATAAATTTAAATAAGTCCATAAACCAATATTCCTGCCATGGCGACACTAGCCCTCTTGGTTGCTATTTTATTGAAAAATGCTCTTTATTCAAAAATCTGAGCTATATCGGTATAGGGAAACCCTAATATAGTTTGAAAGAGCATTTGAATCTTCTTCGATTTATTTAAAAAAAATACAGGGTGTTGTATTTGAAATAAACAAAGTTTTTATGTAAAATAAATTCTTAAAATAAATCAGTAATTTTGATACCCCCTGTATAAACTTAAGAAAGCAATAACATTTTTCAAAGTTTATTTCTCTACCTTTTAAACTCAGCACAAGAATTTAATACTGAAAAAGTAATGTACAGGGTGTTGTAGCATGCAATTTAAATATCTTTAAATATCTCAAAAACCAAAGATTTTAAACATATTTAACCCCTTATAATAATCTGCCTTTTTTTAAATCAAGAATCCAAATGAAATAAAATACCGGTGTTCCATAAGAAAAATATAACTTGGTATGGATCTCAGTCTTGAAACACCCTGTATATTTCAAAATATTTTTAAATTGTGCACATTGTCTCCCCACATATACTCATAAAATATTTTATTTCTACATCTTTCCGTTTTCGTATAATCAACCGAGGCGAATGAGGTGCGTCATCCTGTATATTACAAAAATTAGCGACAGCTAGTAAGTCCTTTACCTTATTAAGAGTAAATGCATTATTTCAATAGAATAGTCAATGGAAATTCTATATCACTTGTTAATCCACTTAAAAAGATTAAAAAACAAAAAACACTTTGTGCATTCATCATCATTCTCAGCTTATTCAACCATTTCTCTAATTATGGTGTAGCCATACACCACCTTGCTATGGTGTAGCCTCTCTCCCATATTTAGATAATCTCTTTGTAGTTGGGCCCATTGTTGTCTATTGTTGGCTAAGTGGGCCTGCTGTTCCTGCTAATTCCTTAATATCATGGTCCCATCTCAGGTTCTTTATAATACCTCGTGGGTAAATTTCTGCTGTAATGTTTGTGTTTCATCTGTTGTCCGTCCTTCTTGCCAGGTGTCCCGCCCATTGCCACTTGAGGGTTTTAATTCTGTTGATGATATCTATTACCTGGGTCCTTTTTCGTGTCCACTCTATTCTTTTACAATCTCTCTTGGTTATCCTCAGCATATTTCGTTCCATTGAGCGTTGTGCGAACTGCCGTTTCCTTATAATGTCCGTTTTAGGCGTCCAGGTTTTGCATGCACAGGGCATGACTGGTAGTACACATTGGTAGAATATTTTCTTCTTTAGATAAAGTGGCCTTCTAGATTTGAATGTGATTGAGTTTCTTCCATAAGTCTGAGGGGAATTCCATGAGTTTCTTCCATCGTCTCTTGTATAAGTTCTTCTGTTGATTTCTGGTAGTAGAGATCCGGAGTTGTGAATTAGTTGTCCCAAATATATATATTCTTCTACTATTTCAAGTGTTGTATTATTTATTAGAATGTCTTTCACCACTAGTTCGTTGTATATTATTTCAGTTTTTGCTAAATTCATTTTGAGGCCCAATTTTATTGCTGGCTGTACTTAGTTCCTTAATATGTAAGCTTGTAGTTCATCAGGACTATTAGCAATTAGGACTATGTCATTAGCGAATTTTAGATAGTTAAAATATTCTCCATCTATTTTAATCCTTGTTGATCCAGTCCAGTTGACGGGAGATTTCTTCTAGTGTTGCTGTAAATAGCTTTGGAGATATCATAAATAAAAAGATTAGAAAACAAAAAAACACTTTGTAAATATCATAATTGCATATATCCTTGAGACTGAATGGCATGTCTGTTTTGTAATAAGTTTAGAGCAAATATTTTATGCAGTCTATATTTATTAAAACAAAAACCTGTATTTCATAAATATACTAATGTATGTTTTTATTTTTTAGTTGCTGGTCATCTGCTTATCAACTATTGTATCAGCAAGTAAACATGCACCTCAAGTCCATGAAGAGCACAATGATCGTTTACATGAACTTGTTCGAAACGCAAGACACTCTAACGGTGTCCAAATGAATTACTTTCCACCAGCATTCCATTATCAACCTTCCAGTCAGCAAGATCGTCTCAGAGCAAAATATCTTCGCCAGCAAACAGTCGATATTTTAAACTTGAAAAACACGAAAATGTTTCCTATCAATGCTGACGCCTTTTTCGAATTACAACAGCAGTCAGCAGTACATAAACCTGCGCATGATTTTAGCGGTGACGACTGGAAACCATTTCAACCAAGACATGCTGTCCCTAAAGCAAATTATAAAAAAACAGCAGTACCTAAACGTAACGAAAAGAACGTATTAAGTGATTTGAACTTTGCTGGTAGCGAAGTAAACCAAGAAAATGTACCAGCACCGCCAGCTTTGACATCGGATCAAGACGAAAATACTCGCTTTATATATGTTCAACCTAGTCTTCTTAGCAACAATCTAGGAATTGAACCAAAAGCAGCAAGCCAGATATTAAAAAATGCTGCTCCTCAGTTACCAAACATTAAGCCTAACGAAGTTCAACTCAGCGAACTGGAAAGTCTGCTCGGTAAAAATCCAGAACTACAACTTGAAGGTTTACAAAGAATTTTAGGTGACGATCCCGTTTTACGAAAGGCTTTACCAGAAGTAATCCAAAAAGAGTTTTCTCCTGTTTTTATCGAACATAACGGATCCAAACAAGCTGAGGAACACGTGAAGGCCCAGCACAAAGCAATCGAATTAGCTCAAAAGCAAGCCGAAGAGGAAGTTTTAGCTAAAATTGCCGCTCATAATAATGGTGGCGCGCCTATAAATCCGCTAGAATTACCTAACGAAGAAAATTTCGTTACTCCTGAATCTGTTATAGTTTCGTCGGAAACACCTCAGAGTTATGTGTCATCTACAACAGCAGCACCAGAAGTATTAAATGAAAGTTATTTGGAACGGCAACCACAGGAGCTGCCTGATTCAATTCAAGTTGATAGTGCACCAAGCGCACCAGAATCTCTACCTCTTCAAGGAAACCAAGAAGAGCTTGTTATTCCTCATAGTGTACGTTATAATACAGTTTATGCACCTTCATATAATGAACCAAAGGTGAACATAACCTCAACTATTCCTAGAGGACGAGTGTATCAACCAGTACACTATACGAAAACAGCATCTGGTTCCCCTAAACTCCATATCGTTTCGAATGTTCCGACTTATCAAAAACAAGTTTATGCACCAGAACAAGTACAGAATTACATTTCCTTACCTACTCCAGCCTCGCCTGTAATCGTTCAGTCAGTACAACCCCATATTACAGCTCCAGAACCAAACAGGGCTTCCGTAGTACAACTGGCTGTTCCTCCATTGGCACCTACTAGAGGAGCTGTACAAAATCACTTATATTCGAAAGAAAAACAGTATAGTGAAGTAAGTATGAGTTTTAGAACAAAAAGGAGTACTAATAATAATCAGAGACGACCTTCTCATATAAACTATTCTTTTGATGGTAAAAAAATTGTTGTTTCTAACCTCGATTCTTATCCAAAGGGTTATAATAAAGATCAGAACTCAGTAAATCGACGAATATATAGTCCGTTTAACTCAAATCCAGATAACTTATCTTTAGGTGTAGAAGTTAAAGCCCAGAATAGGAAACCATGTGAAATAAATTATTCTTTTGACGATCAGAACGTTGTATCAACGGGTTTGGATAATTTTAAAAGTTCAAAAGAAAATCCATATACCGCCGTGAATTTTCAGAGTGTAAAACTTTTTCCAAATAGGACATCTAACAAGTTTCATAATCGCAAAAATATAAATATACCAATACAGCGCAGACAACAAGATAAAACTAATAAAGAACAATTATCAGGACCTGTAATTTTAAACAATTTTAAAAAATCTGACTCACTTGACGGAAAAAATGTTATTATAATTAATAATCACAATTTGAATGAAGGCAATAAAAATGAAAACAGTATTTATCCAAGTAAAGTTCAAAATTTTAATAATTTGGGGAATAATAATATCAAATATCCTTTAAGAAGACCTGTTATGAGACCTCATGTACGTACTAGAATAAAAAATATCGTTCCAAAAATTGAAAGGGCGGAACACAAAGCACAGATTGCCTTTCAGAAAGCTTTAACAATGTAATTTGGTGTCACTTCATTATAGCCTAAGAGCTGACGACATATTTAGAGAACATATTTTAGGCAAGCTAGAATAACTAAAATTGTATAGTTTATTAACAGAACCCAGAATGAACCCAGAATCCTAAGTCTGGCTGGGGGGTTGGGGGTATTTCGCTTCTGCGCAACCCATAACATTTGCAAAAAAATAAATCCAAAAAACATTATTTAGGCCATTCTTAAATTTTAGCATCTATTTAACCTAGAAATAAGTATGCCAGACTTTTTTTTCGGGTTTAAAGTGTAACCCGACCATTCCAAATATGTTTAATTATTATACCTGGAAAACATAATTTAGGCATTCTAAAATTTTTACAGCGTGTTGATTAGATGATATTAAAAAATATGTGTTAATTGCCAGACGAATTCAATGGGATTTAATACTTGCCAGACGCGAATAAAGATTTTAAATGAGCACGATAAGAAAGTCTTATGAGTATCCATAAATGCGAGAAAGATAGTTTATTGAGACCCGGTCGGCAGCCGATGCGGCTGACGTAACAGCATTTTGGAGTCGTAAAAACTAAAAAAAACTAACTAATATTGAATAAATAAATAAAAACATTTTTTAATAAAAATGTATGATTGAAATTCTTTCAACAAGAAGACTTTTTAATTTAAGTATTTTGTATCTGAAAGAATAAAAAGACGAATAATTATTTAAAAATTAACACAATATAAAATATATTTTTTTCAAACGTCACAAAAGTATAATTATTATTATACTTTTGTGACATATTACATTATTATTAATTTTTGCGACCTGATTGACAATCTAAAAAAGTGATTTTAAAAGTAAAGCACTTTTACTTACTTTTGAATCTATTTAGAAGGATTAACAATGATACTTTCATAAAATTCCAGATTACTTATTTTTTTAGCACTGTTCATGGTACCCTTTTGTCGGGACTACGTTTTCTGGTAAAACCACTTCTTTAAATTTTAAACCATGTTGTTGCACTTTTAAAAATTCTTTGCATTTTCGTAGTCTGCCTTCATTAAAAACAATAACTTTGTCACTAGTAACTTTTTTACAAAGTACACAACTTAAATGTTTTTATCCATTGTGATTTAGTAGTTAGTAGCGAAATTAGTAGTTACTAAAATATTTATTTGCAGTAATTATTCTAAACTATTTACACTATGCACGTCAATATTTAATTTATAAATACATATTTGTACATGGTAACTTAATTCCAACAAAATAATCTCTGAATTAAAAGCCTGCAAATAATTGAAATGAAACCGAAAAAAAATTGTTTTTATGAAAATTTGAAGTAGGGGAAGTTTACCTAAAACGGGATACTTAAGGTTTGGACCTGGTTTCTGAAAAAAGTTTAAGTACAAAATCAGGGACAAGCCTCGTAGTAAACATACCAAACATAACGTTATTCAAAAAATAAACATAACATATAAAACTATTAAACATAAAGGAAAAAAAAAGAATTTTCTTGCGAGAGTCAAATTTCCCATTTTAGGAACATATATATCTAAAACAGGATCAGTAGTGTTTCTAAATGGGATTATATTTCCAAGCACAGATCACATATGAAAAACTGGTTTCATTGTCTGACACACCGCAAAGCTTCGTGGACCCATCTTTGGCAGGAACTGCATCGAATCCCACTGGTCACCAGGTTTGCTGCTTAAAAATCTACTCTACAATTAAAAGCACACAGGATTTTCTTCATTGTTACTGTTTTCTGTGGTCATTCTAATTTTTTGGTATTTTTTGTCCTTCATTTTTGTTTCTCTGTTAACATCTTTTGGTCTCTATTTAGTCTAGTTTGTTGCTTCATCAGTCTTCTTCGGCCGAACTATTTTTCTGCGGTTTCGAGATTTTCTTTATTGATTTTCCCCTCGATAACAAACTTTACGTCTTTTTGCCTGTATACTGGCATTCAATTCATCTTTATAAGGTGTACTCGTTAAAGTGGCGACTTTACCTCTATTTGCAGTTTTCGCTACCCTTTTTAATGTTGCTTTTGGGTATGGTTGAACCATTTCTGGTGTAACACTATCATGCAGTATTTTGATTAGAGGTGTATCATCATCACTGGAGAAGCTATCATCTGACACATGAGGACGAGTTGATTTTGAATGCGGCAGTGTGGGATTCGAATATGAAGTCGATGGAGGTGGTGTTTGGTGCCTGATTGGAAATGGCTCTGCTCTGTCTGGTGAGACCTCTTCTGTTGGATGCGATTCATTTTCTAGCTGATCAGTGGGATCAGCAGCTATAAACATATCGTCAGTGAAAACATGGCGATTAACGGGAAATAAGCCTGTTTCTAAATGGGGATACATCCTATTTTAGAAGCACATGCCCTGTCCCATTTTATCAACACATCAATGTATGAACAAACAATACGACACGTTATCCATATAAGAATATAACCTTAACATATCATACGTAAGTGGTCGTTTATATCCTATTAGTTGGTAAAAAATATATCGCTGCCATCTCATTGACCATAAAGACAATGTTTTGTCTCTGTACAATTATGTTTGTAGATCTAATTTTTTACAAGAAATGTGTTAAAAACTTAAAAACTCATCTAGCGTCGTTGCACCAGCTACGATTTTAGTCAAACTGCTAAAGGTTACTCACACACTAACAGAAACTATTAGGTGAATTGCACAATAGATGGCGCTGCATGTACTACAAAATAATTAGGGTATCCCGTTTTACCACAGTATCCCATTTTAGGTAAACCTCCCCTACTCCAAAATACTGTTACGTCCGCCGCATCGTCTTCCGACGGGTCTCAATAAACTATCTTTCTCGCGCTTATAGATACTCATAAGACTTTTTTGTCGCGCTCATTTAAAATCTTTATTCGCGTCTGGCAAGTATTAAATCCCATTGAATTTGTCTAGCAATTAACACATATTTTTTAATATCATCTAATAAAGACGCTGTAAAAATTTTAGAATGCCTAATATATGTTTTCCAGGTATAATAATTAAACATATTTGGAATGGTCTGGTTACACTTTAAACCCGAAAAAAAAGTCTGGCACACTTATTTCTAGGTTAAATAGAAGCTAAAATTTAAGAATAAACAAATTTCAAGTTGCCTAAAGAATGTTTTTTGGATTTATTTTTTTGCAAATGTTATGGGTTGCGCAGTAGCGAAATATCCCCAACCCTCCAGCCAGACTTAGGATTCTGGGTTCACAAGTTATTAAAATTTATTTTTTTTGTTATTCTAACTTGCCTAAAATATGTTCTCTAAATATGTCGCCAGTTCTCGGGCTATTAGAAATTGATTTCTTTACCATTAATTTATTTGTTATGTATTTAATATGTTTTAATTTGATTAGTTGTTTTTTTTAAAAGATGTATATTCTTAATATATAAACAGCATAGTATTATACATACTATGGATAATAGTTACCCATATTTGAATTATTTTTTAGAAATTTTCATAAATAAGTCACTTTAATTAAGTTGAAGTTTATAAAATGCAATTTTATTATGTTTACCTTATTTTTCATATACATATCATTGGGGGTTTCACTCCTTTTTTCCTCTTTTCTATATTTTCCAAAATATTATTTAAAATTCGATAACAAATTATTTATTTTATCAGTACGGCGAGAATTTGTTTTTTTCAGTTTTTAGCGACTGTTTCTTGTTTAAACCAGTGTATTCTTGTTTATTATCGATTTTTAACCGTTTTTTACATGTTTTACGTCACTTACTGCTCTGCTGCTCCTCCTCCTCTGGCGTAGAAACCCCGTTTTTCTCTACTTTTGAATTTAAAAATAATTTTAATTTTTTCATATTAAATGAAAAATTCGAGATCAATGGGAATTGCTAAAAAAATGAAAAAATATTTACTAATTAGAACTTAATATTCATATTTTCATTATTTTTTTATCGTTTTTTCTGATATAAAGAATTTCTAGAAAAAGTTTTGTCCAAATTCGGACATTCTGCTAAAATTGAGTTGTTATAAAAATAATTTAAAAGTTTTTTAATTTTAAACAAATATATCGGGTGACCACAGACATTGGGTAGATTACCATTATATTCTCTTTTAACAAATAAATCGCAAAAATTGGTGCACCAAAAATTTACCATTTAAAAAGAAATAAATGTCATTTCCGGTTCAACAAGAAGTGAGCTTGTGATTTTGTAATAAATAATTTGGGGTTAAATAAAAA